TATATTGTTATATAATTAATTTTGTTAAAGTTCATATATAATATAATATATTTATTAATTTAAAGACATATTATATATTTATTATGATTTAATTTAATGATATTAGTATTTTACAATTTGATAAAACTCAAATTATAAATATTTTTTTATCAAATTATTGAGCACCCAACCGAAAATACTAGACAATAAAATAATAAATCTATTTTCGCAAATTCAGCGGGAAATCGCGACTTCTGTCCGTACCTCTCCTGCTGATGTGGCATTCTACTGTTAAAAATCCAACTAACCACGGTTAACTCGGCACGTGAGAACCGACGGTGTGCACGTGTTAGAGATGGTGGGAGGCTGGGAGCACTTACACTTAGTGGCGGTTAGGTTAATCTTCGATGATTAAAGGAGACCTAACCTAACCAGGGTCAAGAACTCAACTACAAACGTTTAACGGTGGAGTTAACGGTTGAGAGATTTTCGTTTTTATTTTATTTTATTTTATTTTTGTTCTTTTCTCGTAGCTCTATAAAAAGACCGTTTCCTTGGAGCTTGCACTCTGACCCTCGTGGCTGCAGCTTCCTATTCTTCTTCTTTTCTCTGTTTTACTCTCGCCCAGCTTTTGCCTTGTCTGTTTCACATTTTAATTTTCTTGATTGAATAGAGAGAAAGTGAGGGAAAATCTAGTAGGAGCGGGAGTAATTGAAGGGAGCTGCAATGGCGGTGTCTAAGAAATGGGTCTGTTCGTCCTTGGCTTTGCTGCTTGTCTTGCTAGTTGCAGCAATGGTGATTGCGGGGAAAGACAAGATCCCTGAATTCAGGTTCCTGTCTCTGCAAATTCCCCCTTTTTTTTGCGTTTTCTGCTTTCAAGCTCTCTCAATTACGATTTCATCACCTGTTTCTTTTTTCTCCTTTCTATTTCGTGTTTTTCCTTCCAAAATTTCAGCTACATTTTGCAGTCCCTTTTGGAAAAAGGGGGTTTTAATGTACTCCAAATTACTGAATAAGTATCCAGTTGTTTGCTAAGCTTTGAATTTCGCCTTCGATTTTGTAAAATTAAGCTGCATTTTTTTTAAAAAAATAATGCGAACGCTTAACGAAATCGAAAACTCTTTTTCACGGCCTTAATTATGACCGGAATTCACAGTAGGAGTTCTGTTTGAGACCAACTGCTAGTACGGCTTCATTAATTTACTGCCTTTTTTTGCCATAGCATTTATAAACAAAACAAAGTGCTGAAAGAGACAGATGTTCGTCCGCCCTAGTTTCACTCAGGAAACTTCCAGTTTTTCTGTGTTTATGTTTTTTCCTTTATTTTTACAGAAATGTGGAAGCAGAGAAGTTGCAGAGCTCGAAGAAATCATCAATGGCGGCAGCCAGGTAACATAAATCAGAAAATCCTCTCTCTTATTTTTATCAAAACTGATCTTAGCCGTTGGTTCTCTCCCCTTTAAGTATTTCTGAGCCGTCAGATTACAGAAAATGTACCACCGTCTATCCATTTTAACCATAAAATAACGACCCCTAGTGGTTAAGATCTGCATCCTTAGATCTGGATCGTTTATTCCGTTGCCTGAGATTCATTTCTATTACCCGTATCGCCCTTTTTGTTCGTCACCAAATACCTTACAGATCCCGGGGAATTTCTGTTATTTTACATCTTTCCCCACCGACGCATGGCCTCCCCCACTGTCCCTCTCTGCAAAAGTGCTTTTCAACGGTTTTAATGGACAGTCACTGCAAGCGCCGGAGTCAAAATGTGTTCAGACTTCAGACACACACACACACTCTCTCTCTAAATTATACCCTACGCTTGCTTATACATACTTTTTTTTGGTGCTCGCTTCTGTATCACACGACACCTATAACTAGAAGTAGCTTAATATAATTGACATCAAATAACTTAAAATTTTTATGATGATTTAGTACTTAAAAGTTTAAAATTTTAAATAAAATATTTTAAGTTCAGGTGAGTTAATATTTTAAATAACCCAGTTGTAGTATTTATTTTGTTAAAAATAAAAAATTTTAAAAGTAAAAAACCATGACTTTTTATATTATATTATTATCAAATGTATAAATAAATCAAATAATTTAAATATTTATTATGTCGAAGTAATTAGTTTTCGATATATACAATGAAGATTACAACACGTATCAGCTAGAAGTAGGGATATTCCAGTAATTTGACTTGAAATGTTTAATATATTGGAGTAAATTTTTGGCTATCTTTTTCAGGTACGGAGAGGTTGAGGAATTGAATGAGCATGCGGTGGCCGACCCAGAGGCAGTTGCCGCCGAAGTTGAGTCCATTATTAACATGTGCGTCTCGCTTTCCTTCTCCCATTTATGCATTTATTTACGGCTTTAATTTTTTTTTTCCTACTTAATTCTGCTGACTTTGGAATTTTACTTTGAATTTCACTGTTTTTCTGGGTAACTTTTGATTTTTTTTTTCACTATTAAAATGCATATCCGAAGACCGAGGGAATTGAATTAAATCCCCACCTTCCTAATCTTGACCTTTTTCACTTATTCCAATTGGTGTGAGAAAACAACCTTGCCTCTCGGAAAAGAAATAGTAAAATCATGTCTTTTTCTTTATTCATTAGTGCTTGACTTGACGTACGAAATTTATACCATTGTTTTCATTTTTGAGGAAAATGAAAGGAATAGGTTTCTTCTATTTCAATAATTGCAGATTTAAGATTCATTATTTTTCTCTAAAAACACATTCTGTCCCAGATCTTATTGTTCAAATCAATTCCTTTCTAATATCGCTTTTGTATAAATTTTTTAACTTATATCTTTAAGTTATATATAAAAAATACATTTATTATTATTTTTATTTATCTTTATAAAAAGTTATAAAAATAAATTTTATTTTTATATTAATACTATATACATAATATTAATTAAGGAGTTGATAAAATTAAATTCTATTTTTATTTTTTTACATAAACTAACGAAAAAAATGTACAATAAATAAATTATGGTCTTAAAATATTGGTTAAAAGAAAAGATAATCCCTTTTGTATTCTCCAATTGCATTTGTAAATTGTTTATTTTCAGAACATCTCTAAAGTTGTCTGCCTAATTTGGAAAACAATTATGACATTGACATTTACTGATTTACATGTGGGAGGATTGGGTTGTCATTTATGTCATTTTCTGCGTAGAATTTTGGGGAATTAAAATTATTTAGCTTTATCCATTTCATACAAATGGACAAGATGGACGCGTAACTCCTCTGTTTTGGCTCCTTCTCAAAATGTTAAAAGGACCAGAATTATATCCGTTACTCGTAAATTGACAAAAATGCCTGCTGTCATTACGTGCCAATCTCTGCTTTTTCTTGGATCTGGCTGTGGTATGCAATTTACCTCCAAGTCCAACCGACACACAATGTATGTAAATTACAACCAATTTAACAAGTAAAAACTTAATTACTACCAAATTTTGTTGCAACTTGAAATGTGGATTTCAGATATCTGTACACATTGCTTGAATTTTGGTTGGAGAGCTTGTGTTGAAATATGTATGTAAATGTGATTTAACAGGAGCATTGGGAATGTTACTGAAAGGAGGAAACTGGGTTTCTTCTCTTGCGGAACTGGTAACCCCGTTGATGACTGCTGGCGTTGTGACCCCAACTGGGAGCAGAACCGCAAGCGCCTTGCGGATTGTGGAATTGGTTTTGGGAGGAATGCAATTGGTGGCCGTGACGGAAGTCTCTATGTTGTCACTGACCCCGGTGATGATGACCCCGTTAACCCCAAGCCTGGTACGTTGCGCTATGCGGTAATACAGGACGAGCCTCTCTGGATCGTGTTCAAGAGGGACATGGTTATAACGTTGAAGCAGGAGCTGATCATGAACAGCTTCAAGACCATTGATGGACGAGGTGCCAATGTCCACATTGCTAATGGAGCCTGCATCACAATCCAGTTTATTACCAATGTTATCATTCACGGTCTCCACATCCATGACTGCAAGCCGACCGGAAATGCCATGGTTAGAAGCTCTCCGAGTCACTTTGGATGGAGGACAATGGCTGATGGCGATGGCATCTCTATTTTTGGATCAAGTCACATATGGATTGATCACAATTCTCTCACTAATTGTGCTGATGGTCTTGTTGATGCTGTCATGGGCTCAACTGCTATTACCATCTCCAACAATCACTTAACCCACCACAATGAGGTAAATACTTTCACTGCATGGTTCACCAATAGCTTAGTTTTACAGGTTAATGGAAGGAAAAGACTGATGGTATTTTTTATGTGCAATTAAACACAGGTGATGTTGCTGGGTCATAGTGATTCTTACTCAAGAGACAAGCAAATGCAAGTAACTATTGCCTACAACCACTTCGGAGAGGGACTTATCCAGAGAATGCCAAGGTAATACATCTGACTCTGACTTAACAGTTCACATTAAATGCGTTTTCTATACTTTTTCACCTGTCTTTTTCATTTGATCTGTGACTGTAAATTGGATTCATGAATAATACAGGTGTAGGCATGGATATTTCCATGTGGTAAACAATGACTACACTCATTGGGAAATGTATGCCATTGGTGGAAGTGCAAACCCCACCATCAATAGCCAGGGCAACCGATATGCAGCTCCTACAAACCCTTTTGCAAAGGAGGTATTATCTCAATCTTGAACTACAATTTCGTTCTTAAAACAAGGTTCACATGCTGAATTTACTGACAATTGGGTATGCATTTGTTTGGACAGGTAACTAAGAGGGTGGATACAGCTGCAGGCGAGTGGAAGGGCTGGAACTGGAGGTCTGAAGGAGACCTGATGCTTAACGGTGCCTACTTCACTACATCCGGAGCAGGAGCCTCTGCCAGCTATGCAAGGGCCTCAAGCTTGGCAGCCAAGTCCTCTTCCTTGGTGGGAGCCATGACTTCTAATGCTGGTGCCCTTGGGTGCCGCAAGGGCAGCCAATGCTAGTACCTGAGTCAATTAAACTGGCCAAACAACCAGCCCTTTTACTTTATGTTTGATTTTACTTCTTCGTCCTATAGCATATATTACCAACCCCACATCCATATTTCCCAGCAATCATTTCTTAGCCATCTACCTGCACCTGCATCATCACATATTTTGACAAGTGTCAAATTTTTTACACATTGTCATTATATTGTCCCCATCATTTCTCCTCGTTCCATTTCTCAATCAATTATTTTTCTCAACCTCGGCCTGCTTCATCTCAAGTAAACAAAGCCATTTCTAGAAGCAGGTGCGGAAGCGTTGTTTCCTCCGTTTTTTTCCTTTTAACCATCATTATCCCACCTTACCTTTTATCCCTCAGCGTGTCAACTTGGTCTCCACACTTTTGTCTTTTGGTTTAATTTAAAGGGTCTAAATGATCTGGTGATCAATTTTCTTTTCTTTTCTTTTCTTTTTTACCTTACTTGTGTGTAGTCATACAAGCAATAGTATGAATGTCAAAACTTGAATCCCAATGAAGATTATGATGTTTATAGATGATGGTGCATATAGCAATAGCAGTGATGTTTCTTTTTACCTTTTTCCCTTTTGCCCTTTTTCTTTAGATTTGTCGGCTTTTTCTTTCTCAATGGAAGCAATCCTTCAACTTTTTGAATGTGAAGACGTGGGT